TTCCTTCACATGGTGGATGTCACTGTGTGTACAGAGGCCATCTAATCAGGACAGCCTTTGTGTCTTTAAAAATACACAGGATATGGGCACATCTTGGAGCTTTGAGCTGATAGAGGAGAGCTATGTTTAATCCTGTGGTACAGAGGCAAGATGCTTAAAGGTCAAGGCATGGATGGCATGTCATTTTCTAATACGGACAGCTAAGCATCCACCTGATGCAAAACATGGACTCAAGTTATAAGAAGGAGGAGATGACCTTGTTCGGTGCTTTATTTTGGCTCAATCTTTGCCGGACGCTCGCTGACGTTTTTTGAGCCCACAGCTGTGCCGATTTCAAGCCATTTCTCTGTCCTGTAACGACCTGACCTGGAATAAACGCTGTTACTTTTTTACTCCTGTTTTATAGTCCTTTCTTATATGGTTTTACCCAGTCTGAGTTAAGAGTAGTAAATAGCTTGCTCCCAGGTAAAGAACCAGTAGGGAAGTTTCAAGCGCAACTGCCTTCAGGGGGACCTAACTTCCATATTAAACATCCTGCACATCAAGAAGAGTAAGCTGAGGTGGGTTGGACATCTTTTTTAGATGCTCCCTGGACATTTCCCTTTTGAGGTCTTCCAGACATTGCCCACTGAAAAGAGGCCCAATAGGAGAGGAGGCCCAGGGGACAACAGCGGGACTGACAACTCAAGACACACTGGGGGACGTGTCCAAGGAGGGAGGCTTCCAGCCCCACAACCCGATCCCAGATAAGCAGAAGATGGCAAGAAACAGAATGACATTCTCCCAATATATGATTTCCTATTTAAAATTCATCAAGGGTTTATATCATATCTACCAAACAGATGCGACCCCCAAGTTCCTGGAGATTAAATCTATTTGGAATTAGTAGCATAAAGTTGTGACTTTGGAAAAATAAATGAATACACCTTCCAAATCTGCTACATAATAATGTAGCTTTACAGATATGTTTGTGTAACTATTTGAATAAAATAGAAAATACTACAATTCAAGAAAATCACAAGACATGCAAAAAGGTTATAATGCTTTCAATGTGAATGTTGCCATTGGATACATTTAAAGTGTGCTTTTAGCAATTCTTTTAACAGAAATAGCCGTTAAAGTTGTTATACCGTATATTTATTTAGTTTTCCATCCCAAAAATGTATCAACAAATTATTGCAACATACTTACGTAAAAAAAGATACTTTACAAAAAAAAATAAACAGATTGAATCTGTTCCTGTATTTTTTCCAAATTCTGCCAAGTGGCCGTTTTATAATCAAGATCTGAAAGTGCACTCAGTCGGAGATGTTTGCCAAACTTCAAACATCTCATTTCAGTTGACAGACATCTAAAAACCCACTCTGACAAAGTTAACGTTTGACACATAAAAGCTTGTTAAAAAAAATGAAAACAAAACTAATGGGTCTTCAGAGAGCATAGAACAGTATTCGACAGAACGCGGCTCAGACAACATCACCACCCTTCTGCTCACGCAGACACTCAATATCTCCCTAAATTAAGACGCATCATGTTGGCATTTTCTGTAGCTTTTAAAAATCTCAATGTGTAGCTCTTTATGTATTTAAATCCAAGGTCAGGCTGCATAATGTTAAAAAAAAAAAATTGTGGATGCTGGTTTTACTGGAAAATATGCAATTATGAAATCCCAGCTCATTTATGCATCCTACTTGTTTTCCTTATCCTTATTCCAAACTCTTTGTGATCTTTAGCATATTGGGCACTGTGATTTCTGTAAGGTAAGTGTATCAATTAATGTCAGACACTTTCAAACTGTTCAGATTTTCAAGCTTCAAAATTTTTTCAGATCAGTGTCGAAGTTTGCTTTTGTTTTCTGTTTGGAAAAATGTATTTCAAGTTCTTCTTTGTCCAGTTAAAGTACTAGAAGATGCTGTGAAAGCATTTGATTTTTCATTCTGAATTTATTTTCCTGATGGCAGGAAAAGCGAGTTACCAGAAACTCCTCATGTCTATGATTTCCGGACAAGCTGATTGACTAATCAGCTGATAATTAGCATTATGTCTCTACAGAGCTGTGGGTGATAATCACCAGTATTGCTCTGATCAAGAGGCAACCATTGGTTGCTTTGAATTTCAAGTATTAAAAAAGTAGTCCATAGTAAATACAGGCTTTTTTTAAACATAGTAATTCTACACTGATATGCTAGTTTGTTCTTTACAAACCAACATATCAGTAAAGTGAAACAAAAACAACCAGGAGCTTTAATATTAAACACTCCACAAAAAAAAGAGATAAATCAAACTAGTAATTACATAAATACAAACCAACCTAACGCAAAAACAGCTGGTAATAATGAGAGGCTGTCTCTAGTTAATTAGCCTTTTACTAATTAGCAACGTAAACAGAGACAGCAAGGTGGATATATAACAACCCCAATGGTCATAAAATATCACATGTACGGAAAGCTATTTTTGTATTTTTTATGTATATCCTTGATATGCAGTTTCATCTTTGCAAGCAAGCGTGAATTTCATTAGTAATTAATATTTTAAAGGTTTACCAAATGCTAATAAATATGCTCAACTACACAGCTTTACCTTACAATTTCCACCTGTTGTATTATCAGATTGCGAAAAATATTATTTTTAAACATCTGGGGTTTTTTTTGCAGTTTGAAGCCTGGTTTTTTTTTTTTTTTGCATATGTAATTTAAAAAATCCCACAGGAAATTAAGGCAAGACCTGTCATGTTTGGACACGCCGATTGAAGTCAGCTTAGTAGATTAAACTATTCAGTGGGATTTATTATAAGTGAAAGTAAACAAATCCTGGTTTGTTGTACAATGTCCTGTGGCATCACAGATGTGTTATTGGCAGGTATGGTTATTCTTCTGTATCTTTCCTGGTAAAGCTTATTATGAGCATTTCAGGAAAAGAAGCAAAACTCATTCCCATCGTACCCATGAAGTGATCATTCATAAAAAATACTTTATCAAGCCTAAGGTGCATTTTAACAGGATTTTTGCCAATTTTATGACTCATGTGAACTATAAAAATGACCAAGTTAACATCATAACTTACTGAAGGGCTAATAATTATTTCCCACTATAGCCTAAGCAACTCGAGTCAGCTCTGGCTTTAGGCCTTTCACACCTACAGATTATTTAGCTTTAACTAATCTTTCAGGTTTTGGCCAGCCCCTCAAACCTGGAACATTTTCACATGACAAAAAAGCTGTTCATAAACACTGTAATTAAAAAGACAAGTCATTTTAATTCTGAGATAAAACTACAATTGACCACTATTAGAAGGCTGAATGGTGGCCATAAGACATTCCTTCTGATTGGAGAACCAATATTAGCTTAAGGGAATAGTACACCCAAAACATGATTAGCCTTCATTTTCTACTCACCCCCATGCTGAACAACACTCTGGAGTACTTTTTTGATATCTCAAATGCATCTGGAGATCTGGGAGGCTTCTTGCTGTCTGCTGACATTCAAATAATGGAGGTCCCCAGCGCCCGAGGCAGAAAGGTCCATAAAAGTCCACAAAAAACGTGTCAATATTCCTCCATACTGCTCGTCCAATGTATTCCAAGTGTCCTGAGTGGGTAGCATCCAGAATTTACTCGAAACGAAGTCATTTAGAATGTTTTAGGGCCTAAACAGTAGTGTATAGGATTTCCTAAAAGCGCGCGCCTGCGAGTTCACGACGCTACGGAAGCCGGCAGACCAAACCAGATGAAAGTGCGGATTCAGCGTCTGCTCTGCCGATAATGCAAGCGTAGAAGAAGAAGTTCCGCTTTTTACCTGTTTATTTTCTGCCGTGAGCCAGGTGAGCACGAGGTTAGTCTCTCTCAGAGTTGCAAAAAGCTTGCATTATTGGCAGAGCAGACGCTGAATGCGCACTTTCATCTGGTTTGGTCTGCCGCGGTTTCCGTAGAGTGGTGAACTCGCAGGCGCGCGCTTTCAGGAAATCCTATACACTACTGTTTATGCTCTAAAAACATTCTAAATAACTTTGTTTCGAGTAAATTATGGACGCTACCCACTCAGGAGACTTGGAATACATTGGACGAGCAGTATGGAGGAATATTGACACGTTTTTTGTGGACTTTTATGGACCTTTCTGCCTCGGGCGCTGGGGACCTCCATTATTTGAATGTCAGCAGACAGCAAGAAGCCTCCCAGATCTCCAGATGCATTTGAGATATCAAAAAAGTACTCCAGAGTGTTGTTCAGCATGGGGGTGAGTAGAAAATGAAGGCTAATCATGTTTTGGGTGTACTATTCCTTTAACGTGACCAACTTAACTTAAAGAAATCCTTTTTTGTGCACATCTAACATAATGCGTGCATGTTTCTCATTAGGCTATAAAGCTACTATTCTAGGCATGTCAGTTGTCAGTTGCCTGTACTGTGACAGTGATGACTGCTGAAAGTTGGACAGTGCTTCAGTGATTCTGACCACTCTACTAACTCCTAGCATGTCTTTCCTAGCATATGCAAATGAAAACTGTAATTAATGACATTTAAAATATGATAAAAACGACATTTTTGAAAAGCTAAAGGGTTTTCATGGGGTTTCTAGAGCAATTCTGGTTTTCAGATCCGTCTTACTTGGGTAAGTGAATTCCTGTGAAGAGATAGGCAGGGACTAAAGGTCACGCTACACACCCTAAGCAAAGAGAAGAAACAAGCTAAGAATGTGTTTCATCCGAGAAAAATCCTGTTTTACTTATGTTCATTAAGTCACCAAGCCCTCTTGGCAGCTTCTGCATCACTCAGTAGGTGGCAAACTGTGTGGGGAAGTTTTTCCCCAGTCATCGAAAAGGAATCTTAAGAATCCACAGAATTGTGTGTCATCTGGATGCAAAAATATATATAAACTCTTTTCAAATGCTTTATCTTTCAACTTGTAAAAATATTCTGTCAGATTGTTTTAGCTGCATGTGAATTAACAAACATGACTCTATATGAGGTCGTCTGATACGACATCAGCTGAATTGAACCTTACCAACACACGCGTTGAGGAATAGCCAATCCGTCCTCCTCATCCTGTTCTTAATCTGCTTCAGTTTTTTGAAATCCACTTCAAGCTCCTCTTTGCTGCCAATCCCAGCTCCTGACGCCAGTTCAATCCTCTGAAAGTCCATGTTTACTTCAGACTCCCGTTTCTCTGATGGAGGCGACCTCCTCTGGCTGCTGCTGCAGCCCACCACTCCCCCTACCACACACCCTGTTCCCTGCCCAACAACACCCCTCCTGTTGTCCCTGTCCTGCTCGTTAAGCTTGGAGCAGGGCTGGTGGCTCTCCGGCTCTGACGCCAGTTCGATGGGTTCGGCGAGGAGACTGTTGGGCCTAGGATGGTCGCACACAACACATTTGAGTGCCTTGGCCCAGTTTTCATAAGTGCATGCAGTGCAGGTCCAGTGCTGTGTGTGGGTGTTGAGCCTGTTGCGGTCATTATATTCCTCACATGGGTCTGTGGTGACGATCGGTGTAGTGGGGCGGCACCCGGAGCCTGAGGTCTGTGGTGTTTCCGTGGGGCTCCGTGGCTGCCGAGCATGATGCCCTTGATGAGATGCATGGTGCCCATGTTGTTGTTGTTGAGCCTGCTGCCTCTGACACAAGCACTGGGTGCAGCGGATGGCTCGAGGCCAGTTCAGGTAGGTGCACATATGACATGACCACTTGCTGCTCGTCTCTGGAACATCAGCAATGCGAACGCGGGGTCTCGCACTGGAGTCTGGACAAATAAGCAGGCTGGATCCCCCCTGAGATGGACTGTTGCTGAGGTCTGCAGGGTCCCACTGATGCAGGCTAGCATCTAGGGCCGGGCTGCTCTTAAAGGGCTCCTCAGTAATGATGGCACCCCCGCTGGGCCTCTGAGCTCGGCACATGGTGCACTTGATGGCTGACGGCCAGTTCTCGTATGTGCAGTATTCACAGGCCCACTTGGCAACCAACTCTGTCATCGTCGCGCTGCCGCAGAAGGAGGCTTCCAGCCGTTCAGCGGGACTGGCAGCTCCACTCTCAAGGAGGTCACACAGCAAGCAGCTCGCTAGGGGGAAAAGAAAAAAGGGCAGCAAATCTCAGTCATTATTTATCATAACAGCAAATGTGTGCAGAAAACAAAAAGGTTTCAGCAGCTAACATTTCTACGCATTTAGCTTTGAATTTCTCTAAAGCTGCAGCAATGATTCCTGATATTTCTCTTCAGCTCTGGCACTAACTTTAACGCACACTATAAGTTTCAACACACACGGCAGGCAACTGTGCCCTACAGCTGAGTTGGGTAATAAGAGACAAGGACATATGAAACACAACACTCAGCTGGGAAACCACTGAATGATTAAGACACTAACAGAAGCAGTGAAACTGGATGGATCATGAGAGACTGGCCCCCCGACAGGTTTGTGTAAATAGCTCCCACCCCTTTAATATAGAGGAGACTGTGAGAGATCCAAAGTGCCTTTTTGAAGTTGTTTCGCACCCTACTGAAAAAAATATTACACAGTCTTGAAAAAGTATTCACATCCATTGAACCTTTTCAATTTTATTTCAACGTATGCCAAAATGAGTTCTTCTACTTTTATATAATTGCTTAAACCAATAAATGCCTACATCTAAATATTCAAAAAATAGGTCTTAAAGCCACACATTGTATATTTCTACCAGATTTAATCATCTCTACTTTTTCCCTGTTCTCCAAAGTCAAAAAGAGGTCAAACTTGGAAGGACTGGATGGGTAGCATTTGCTTATAAAAAAAAAAAAAAAAATCAGCTTTTTTTTTAGCTATAGAACAATGTTATTCATTCAAAACCATGCAAAAAGTTTTCTTTTGATTAATTAATAGTAGAGATTAGGGATGGAAGTGTTTATGAAAATCGTCCGAACCGTTCGGTTCGACTGTCTCGGTTCGGTTCGTGTGTGTTGCGTTCGGTTCATGCGCTGCTCCTTTTTTTCATAGGCGAAGCGTTTACACTCCAGAGCAGAAGGTGGCGGTACTGTGACCAAAGCCAACCACCAGTAATAAACAAGAAGAAGAAGAAGCGAAGCAGCATAGCCGGGTGTAGTAGAAAAAAATCAGTTGATGTGGAGAATTGTGTGGGTATGGCGAGTGGGAAAGAACAAGAGTTGGAAGACGCGCCAGCAGCACTTTATAGGTCTGCTGTATGGGACCACTTTGCATTTAGAGTGACCTACGATGACGGCGGAAAGAAAGTTGTGGATAAAAACAGTGTGCAAGCATTGTGCAACAGGTTTTGTTTATGCTTTTTTTTTCTCGGTGTAACAATAAACATATACCGAACCGAAAACCTTGACCATGAAACCGTGAACCGAACCGAACCGTGGATTTTGTGAACCATTCCACCCCTAGTAGAGATGTAAACAAATATTCAAATGTTAATAAACGGTTTATTAGATTTAGGGCTACAACTAATAATTATTTTGCAAATCGATTAATCTGTCGATTATTTTTTATATATAGTATATTATAGTATATTATTTTTTTTAGTATATTATTCTTTTTAAGTCATTATATGTGAAAGAAAAAATCCTTAGTCCTTCTTGAAACTCAGGTTTGAAAGTAAGGGATGCTTACCTTGATCAATCACTTTTAGATTAATTCATAATTCCAAAATGTGCCCTCCTAATTACCGCATGTCTGAGTAATCTTGGTGAGTTCTGCTGTCTGAGCAGCATACCTTCCTTGACCTGTGAAAACCAGTGTTTGGAAAGTATGTAATGCTACGTTCACACCGCACGTGATTGAAGCAGCAAAAGCAGCTGGTTTACATGCAAAGTCAATGGTTGACGCACATCAGGGAGCATCAAAAGGTGCTGCAGCGAGTTTCGAGCAGCAGGAGCAGTGTCTTGACACATCTGGGCAGCGTGACCGGCTTCACAAGCAGCAGCTGCTGGAGTTGGAAAAATGGAAAATTTGCTCCTTGACGCGCCACATCAACCAATCAGCACTGCTGCACAGCAACGCTGATGCAGATCGATATGATCACTGCGCTTAAACAGTTTATTAACGCCTAAATTAACTTAAAATGTAGAAAACTGCCGGCAAAATTATTTTGCTTTTATTATTCTGGTGCATACATGGAAACTGTCTTCCAGCAGCCACGATGAGTAGCGAAAAACACCCAAGAGGGCCAGAGGCTTCTGTTGAAGGGGATTTCAAGTCACAGCGCATCGCCGGTGTACAGGGGTTTTGTGCTGGTCCTACAGCGAATTAATACTTGATAGCAGGTTCGTAATCTTGATGAACTGAGTGCACAGATGATGGTTTGAGGTGGACTTTCTCACTTAAAAACATATTAAAACTACTTTTCACCCACTCATAACAGAAAATATAGCAAAGGCACTCTCTGCCACTGAACACAGGAGCAGCAGACGCATCTGTAAACACTTTACTGGACACACTTCAGAAGCATAAAGGTTGGTCTTAAGGCGCGACAGTCTTCAATGTCTACAAGCATCAAAGATGAAGCAGCTGGCGCTTTTCTGCTGCTCAAATCACGTTAGGTGTGAACGTAGCATAAGAGTGCCCGATCCAGCTAAAAGCTAACCGGCACTGTAAACAAACCCCCACTTTCCCAGCCAATCTGTACAGGGCAGCAACCACTCCTTTTTTAGCTTATTTCCACATTTACGAAAATTGTTTTTTTTTGTTTTTGCCAGAGAGAGGTCTATCTGCTCAGCCTTTAGAAGTGACGCTACATGGAGAACCTTATGAAATGAGCAACCAGGCAGCTTTGTGTTGACAGAAAGTGTTTTTTTCCAGGATCATAACCAAATGACTAAATTTTATAACTTTGTGCCCATGTCGTTCTAAAGGCGATATTTCATAATATATTTGCTGATATATGAAATGATTTAAATTGGCTTTAAGTTTCTACTTTGACTAGACCTTTCAATTATCTGACTACATGTCTTTTTAAAGGTTTATTATGCCCATACATGTTTTTTTCTCCATAATGCTGCTAAAATGTTTTTGTTTTTTTCTGGCTATTTCCCTACCTTACCTTAGAGTTTCCCTGACCTCTTGTCTGATTTTCCAATAAATACTCTCCTTGTGTGACCCATGATGTCTGGTTGGTGGTTAAGGAATTTATAAAAGGGCATCAGCGTAAAAAGGGTTGAAAAACTAAAAACAAAACGTTTCTTGTAATTTGTTTAAATACTATGATCCTAGAACCATTCAACTTAAAAATTTCACACAGCCAATTTGCACTATTATTAGTTCTATAACTACTAGTGGTAAAAAATTGATAAAATCTGACAAAATATGAAATGATTCAAGATCAAATGCATTTCTTCACATTAGATCTTTCTTTAGATGTCGCTTTGTGTCATTTTTGTAGCTATATTCTCTTTCTGTATAGCTTATATTTTCTTTAAATGCCACAGTCTACTTTCTAGATTAGTTTGTTTACTTTGTTGAAAATGTATTTTTATGGCATTTAAGGGAAAATAAGCTCATGTGTCTTTATTTGTGGGTCAGGAGTCAGATAATCCAACCATCCATATGACTGAAATCTGCTTTTTCTCCAGGAGCTAAGTAGTACAATCATGTAAAAGTGAAAGAATATCATCTTGCCCAGAGGAACAGACAGGAGAGCTGTAGGAGGAAAGTTGACTCTCAGCTCCAAGGGGAGTAACATTACTCTGTTTACACCACGCCTCTAAGTTTACCAACAAACCGTGAGAAATTCTGCACAACTCTGCAAAAAAAGATGCAATTTCCAGTCAATACTTTTAACTAATTTAACTACCTGCTCAGTTTTCCCCTGAAACAGTACCGCTGTGTCCCTAGCTACCAGCTGGTGGCTACTTTACATCACAACAACCCTCTGCTGGTTCGGTTGTCAGCCAGAAATTACAGCAGAGCTAGCCCGCTAACACTAGATTATATTTGGCCGTAACCGCCTGACAGGCCCGAGTCAGTAGTAAAAGAAGACGGTTAACCCTCACCTCTGCTCCGCTGTGTTCATGCTCCTCTCCCCGGACGGAGAACCCCTCTCCTCCGGCTCCGAACTCGGGCTTCTCCTCACTTCCACGACACTAACCGCATATTTACTGCTTTCTGGGGGAGGGTTGCCGTTGAACTGGCAGTAACTGTACGGTCCGCTGAAGATTACCCCCCTCCCTCCCACCCCCCCAAAGTCCCGTCCCTGTTTCGCTGGTTCCGATGCTTTAAATCATTTTAATCCGCTCCCCCCCGATCAAATCCCAGGTTGACGGGCTTTAATGGCGGCGGAACAGGGGGGAGGAGGGAAGCAGACGAAGCAGGGTTGAAAAATACACTAGAGGGGAAAGCAAAGAGGGCTCGAGCCGTGTTAGAGCTGGAGGCTGGATCAGGATTTTACCACCTGAATCCGCCAGCTTCGCTGATTGGTTGCTTTTTTTCTATATCCATTGGAAACGACCAATCAGATTCTACGTCTTCCGTTCCTGCTGTTAAAAGGCTCGGAGGATGCATAACATAGCCGAATGTAGAAATAAAAACAAAGAAGTACTGACTTTAAATTATTGCCTCTTTGTAAGTAAGTGTTTCATAGAATATAAATATTTTTTGAGCATCGTAATGCGTTGGATTTATAGCAAAACAGCCACGTGGTATCTCATCAAAAGGGATGATGTCATCGTGAAAATGCTGCAGCGAGCAGTCTGCAGCAATGGATAACACAACAAGTGCAACAGTTCTCAGCTTGAGGTTACTGTCACCATGTACGAATAGATTTCTCATTTACAGCCCATCAGCAGAGGCGTAGCCAGAACATTCTTATAAGGGTGGCCAGGCAATAACCAATAGATAGGCACCAAAACCTCACGGTCAATCTACACTGTTCCAACAGGAAGATTAATGAGCAAAACATCCATATTCTCTAAATTAATACAAACAATACTTTCCCACAGCCTTTGCTTTCTAATAGATGAATATATTAAATTATCCGTGCTTTCTAGATAAAAGGTATAGTGGGTAGAATTCTTTCAGGTTTGAGTTTTGGGTGAACATCTTTTCCATTTTCATTACTTACCTACTTTCATCAGTAATCATTCTGCATAAATTTGATATTTACAAGTACTAATATCTACATGAATTCATTATTTAATACCTTTTTATTGAAATAGTTATCTATGATTTCACTGAAGACTCCTAGATGACTCCTAGAGACTCTTCATTTTTAATGTTAGTAAATTGATGTGCATAATTAACCATAGTGTTTTTGTTGTCAAGTAATTGTTAATATATGAAAAATTTTAATGTTTTGAATATTCCACTTGAGAGTATTACTGCTACAACCATCTGTATTAGAGGGAAATAAATGCTAGGGGTGGCCACAGGGGTGGCCAATGATTGGCTAAGGGTGGCCATGGACACCCTTGGCCCCCCATGTAGCTCCACCCCTGCCTATCAGATCCTAAGCAGTCATGTACGTTACGTCATTTACTTAATTAAAAAGCAGCGAAAACACCCTTTCTATTCTCTTCTCTGATCCAGATAGTATGGAAGTTCAAAAAAGCCATAAAAAAAATCAAGTTGACAAACTGATTAAACAAGCAGTTTGCTTATTTTAAGCTGGAAATAAATAGCCTATACCTGGAAATGTTTGGTGGTCTTAAGTAGGCTACTTCATATATATATATATATATATATATATATATATATATATATATATATATATATATATATATATATATATATATATATAGAGTAGATTAGGCAAAATACCAAAACCTATTCAATATAATCTTTTAATCAATTGTCTTTTATTTTAAAAAGTCTATATTTCTTTCAATAAGAATATAGGGAGATCCAAAAGTGCCTTAATTTAATGAAAATTCACGATGATTAATTTACTGCACAGCTTAGTATAAGATATCATGTATATATTCAGAAGAGGTCATCAATAAGGATAACTTACCGTTTAAACGCAGAATGCTTTGATGATAATGCCACTACATATCTTTATATCCTTTCACTAGTGCCTATTTATTTCATGGTCATGTGTTGGGATAACACAATTGATAATTTATATTAGAAATTAAAATGTATAAATAACCATTATTTCATTATGTAGGGCCTAAATATTTTTGTGATACTATCGCAAATCATGAAATTATTTAATCAGTCAGCTTTACTGGTTGAAGTCAGAGGGCCAAGTTAAAACTGCCTCAATCAAACTAATTATGAAATGCGCTAACTTTAAGGGATTTTTTAATCCAATATTGTAAGTAAGGCTGTATTTTATCTGATATCTTCTTTGTACTCAAAGCTTATTTGGCTTAAATGTTATTTTCCATCTGCTGAGTCCGTCAGTACACGATAAACTGTATTCTGTTATTTAGCCTATTAAAACACTATAATTATTGATTCTGCAAATTTTATTCCTTACTAAATAAAATAGACATTGAAGAGTGTTCATTCCACCTAATTCTTTATTATATATGTTTATTTTAACTTAGTTTTTGAAATCCCGGAATTTGCAAATCACTTAGTATTTGTGGACTTTCACATAATTTTGTAAAATATTAAATCAGTTATGATCATTGGTAGCAAGTAGATCAGTTACTCAGTACCTGAGCTTCTGGTTAATTATTGTTCTCTGTTGGAGTATCATAATTTGATGAAGTATTTTCTCTCATTTCACACGATAAAATAATTAAAATATGCACAATCCATTCTGATATCTCATCTGATCAATACCTAAAGCTGCTATATTGGCATCGTATCGGAAATGAAAGTTTTCCATCGTGACTCCCCTCGTTATAAGTTTAGGATTTTCAAAGAGTTGATCACACTATAAACAAATTTAAGATCTGCATCACGTTAAGCTCTTTGAGGCCAATTGCTCATAAATCGTCTACAAAGCTTAACATTTTAAAAAGTATATCAGATCAGCAACAATAACACCTTTATTAAACTGATATTTCAAATTTGGATTGCTTTCATGTGTTATATTTAGATATAAAGTTTTATAACTTATTTTAATATCTATTAATTTTTGCAGTCTCCAGGACAAGATGAAAATATACCTCCAATTGTATTACCAAAACAGTTTTACAAGTAAAACAAGTACAGTTTGTAAACCAGTAGCCTGCTTATTAAGAAAACAAAGGAACGTCACATCAAATATGAATGTCTTATTTATTTTCCCTCAATTTAACCACCTTGTTCTCTGTGCCTAACCAAACAAGTCCCTGGTCAACTTTCATCATGTACACAAAGCCAGAGGAAAAAAAAAAAAAAAAAAACAAGAACTAAAACCTAAGGTGTGTGCACTGGACTTTGTGCTTTATGGAGGTGATTACGTTACGGCAGACTCCACAGAGGAAGCAAAATGTCACCCCATACAGTGAAAGTACGAGAGTATACATTTGGATTATGCTGCAACTTGAAAATATATTGATCTAAACAGAGTAGATTCTCAAATAAGTTAAATCTCCTGCGCCTAAGCCCAGCGTGTTTTCACTGCGCCCAAAGCCCACAAACCTTGATCAATGGATGTGAAGAACAAAGATTACAAGAGAACCATCTGTGAGAAATGGTACTCTATACATCACTCATCTAGGACAAGCTTATTCAGGACAGTAAGTGCTTTTTATGTGTTCCCCACTGCTATCTAATATACATTCATTTGTTTCAGTACTCATTTTACTTTTCACAATTACTAGGTTATTATGAAACATTTTGAGTGCCAGTTCCTTGTCAGTGATCCATTGGCATTACAAATCCAGGCAAACAAAAGCAAAAAAAAACTGACAGTATCTAAATAAAGCAAAGCTTGTTCACAAGACAAAGCCTCTCCCCACCACAAAATATATCTTGTGCAGTGCAAACATAAGTCCATGCTGAATGTCACCAGTTCATGCAAAGGTGTCCCACAACCGTTCACCACCACTCCTGTTGATGTCCTCTGCAAAAGCACGTCTCAGTTCTTCACCCATCACATTTTCTTTGCTTCATTGGACTTGGCTGCTTTTCCAGTTTTAAGCCATCAAGCTTTTTTTTTTTGCTAACTATAACATACAGAAGCTCTACAAAGCAGCATGGGAAATGAACTCAGAAAGCAGCTTGATGTAGACCATAGGCATGGGCCAGTTACCGCTATCAAGGTACGGTATACATGTTAAAAAAAGAAAGTTATGGTCTCACATAAATAATTTCAATGTTACAGTTCCTACAGTATGAAGTCGTTTTAACACAATGCTCGATAACTGGGTTTCTCACTAGCCCCATAAATACAAGAATAAGATTGGTCTGCCAATCAGCTGGCTGCAACAAGGCAACTACATGTCGCTCAATTTCAACACAGAAAGCTTCAGCACGCATTTCTAGATGGAATAAATGTTTTTTTTTTATAACTGCTTTTTAATTGATCAAATATCTTTATTCATGTTTATCAAATTTCATACAACCTTAAGGTTATACTTTGGTTTTAAAATGGAAAACCATGGTTCTGATTGTTTTTGTCATTTTAATAAGAGGTCAGAGAATAAACTGGGGTTGTTGGGAGATTTGTTCTGCTGGGTAGGGGCATAAAAGAGCCCAGGGTGACCTCTCCAGCAATCTCTTGCTGAGCACTGCTGGTTAGCCTCCTGAAACAAGGTTATTGATTTTTACTTTTTTTTTCCTGTGCCGACAACAAAGGCAGATGTCGCTATTTGCAAACATTTCTAATTGAAAAAAGATGCACACAAGACAAATGAACCAGCCGTTGTTTTGACACAAAAGGAGCAGAAACCAAAGCTTAGGTAGGAATATTTCTAAGCAGCCAACTTCAGATTCCACCCATATAGAAAGTTGGACTAATAAAATTGCTTTTAAGTGAAAAATTACTTTTGTGAATTACATTTATTGAAAAACTGTGACTATATTAAGAAAGTCAAGTCATAATTTGACTAAAAAAACCTTATACCCATCAACCAAGTCAACAAGTGAGGATTATCCTAGTATTCACAGGAATCTGCTGCCTTTTGGTTTAACAATGATTAAGAACATGCAATACATGCGTTATAAACCTTTGCAGAATTACCCGTACTGTGATATTTGTAGTTAAGGTTATTATACTGGCCCATGCCTATTAGGTAGAAAACATTTACTCAGGAAGGAAAACAGTTGCTGTACCTTTAAGTAA